TGTACCATGTAAACCGCATAGAGTCGCCTGTCTGGGCTGAAATACGCGGTATAGAAATAAAGCAAATAATAATAATAATAATAATTCTGAACTGCACCAGCAATGGATTTGAACCTAATTTGCCATACAGAACTCCCATGACCAATGGAAAACACTGGAAGGGTTTGGTGGGTATTGACCTTGAGTTTGGGAGTTGTAGTTCATCTATATCCAGAGAGCACTGTGGACTCAAGCAATGCTGGATCTGGACCAAACTTGGCACAAATACTCAATATGCGCAAATGTGAACACTGGTGGAGCCTGGGGAAAATAGACCTTGACTTTTGGGAGTTGTAGTTGCTGGGATTTATAGTTCATTACAATCAAGGAACAATCTGAACTCCACCAACGATAGAATTGGCTCAAACCTCCCACATGGAATCCCCATGACCATCAGAAAATACTGTGTTTTCTGATGGTCTTTGGTGACCCCTCTGACACCCCTTCACGACCCCCTCAGGGGTCCCGACCCCCAGGTTGAGAAACACTGGCCTAGAGCATCTTGGATGGAGGGCGATTAATAGGTAATGATGATGATGATGATGATATGAAAGATAGCCTCAAATGAGAATCTTTATAGTTTTTGTATAAGCGCCTTACCTTGACTGGCAGGGATGCACGTTGCACCTTCTGATTTGAGGTTCTGGACGGGTCACGCGCTGGCAAGCGCTGTCATTCACCAACATCATGCTCTTGTTAACTATTTGCGTACAGGACACAATGGTTTTACGTTCCCCTGAAAGCAAGGCAAAGGAAAGAAGAATAATTCTGGGGTGGAGCATCTCTGTTTATTATTACTGTGTTTCCACACTAGTGACTGAGATCAGCATCAGCAGATACAGCGATGGTGAGAAGGCTTTGTTGCCGTAATGGGTTCTCTTGGTGCAAAACAACCCTGCCTTTTAAACCAGGGAGAGCCCCAAATGAAGAGTTTGCAAGATGCTGCAGATCAAGGTGCTGGGAAATTATGGTGACAATACTCTGAAAGTCTCCATGTGCATTGGGACAGGAAAGTCCTGCCTTAGCTGCTTGTTTCAATGGATCATGTGCCTTATGAACCTGCAAGGACTTTAAGATCATCTGGAGAGGCCCTGCTCTCGGTCCCGCCATCATCACAAGTACAGTTGGCGGGAATGAGAGATGGGGCCTTCTCAGTGGTGGCCCCTTGGCTATGGAATACCCTTCCTGGGGAGATTAGATCGGCTTCCTTGCTCCTATCATTCCAGAAGAATCTTAAGACATGGCTATTTGAGTGGGCACTTGAAAATATGGAGTAATGGATATAATAATTGTGCTGGTACGGCTGTACCAGGAGCTCCAATTTCTTTTCCTTTCTATTGAGTGTTTGCATGTATTCCAAAGTTCCATGCATTTTGCAATAAGGTGGCTTCCCTTGGTTTGCAATAATAGGACCAATGACCCATCAATTATCATTATGTTGTTTAGTTCCGCCCCTTTTTCTGGGTTAAGGAGGGGAAAAGGAGAACTCTAGTTCAGTTCACACAGAGAAGCCTTTCGTACAGGACGTGAATCAGTTCCACCTGTAGAAAGCTTCGTCTTTTACAGCTTAGCTGTGGGGATCCAGTCCCACAGCTCTACAGAGAACTACAGCATAGCCTTTGTTGGGGAATTTAGTTCCACAACTCTACAGCCACCTGGGTTTGAAGGACCTGAGTAGGGATGTTGATGATTGAGGTGCTTGGAGACATCCTAGTCAAATAACAACAAATGCACTATTTTCAAACATCTCTGAGAACCTCTGGTAATCGGTGGCAGGCAACTCCAGGCGAACTAATAAACAAGCTTCACCTCCTCCTGGACCGTGCTCTGACCTACAAGAAGCACTGACTGAATATCAAGCAAAAAGTGGGTGCTAGAAACAATATCATACGAAAGCTGACTGGCACAACCTGGGGATCACAACCAGACACAGTGAAGACATCTGTCCTTGCGCTATGCTACTCTGCTGCTGAGTATGCATGCCCAGTGTGGAACACATCTCACCACGCTAAAACAGTAGATGTGGCTCTTAATGAGATATGCCGCATTATCACGGGGTGTCTGTGCCCTACACCACTGGAGAAACTACACTGTTTAGCCAGTATTGCACCACCTGACATCCACCAAGAAGTAGCAGCCAATAGTGAAAGGACCAAGGCAGTGACATGTCCGGCTCATCCCTTGTTTGGGTATCAGCCGGCACACCAGTGACTTAAATCAAGAAATAGTTTTCTAAGATCTACAGAGACACTCGCTGGAACACCTCAGCAAGCAAGAGTCCAAAAGTGGCAGGCTCAAACCCAGAACCTCAACCAATGGCTGATACCAAATGAGAGACTCCCCCCTGGGCACAGAGAAGACTGGGCGACTTGGAAGGCGCTGAACAGACTGCGCTCTGGCACCACGAGATGCAGAGCCAACCTCAAGAAATGGGGCCAAAAAGTGGAATCCACGACATGCGAGTGTGGAGAAGAGCAAACCACAGACCACCTGCTGCAATGCAACCTGAGCCCTGCTACATGCACAATGGAGGACCTTCTTGCAGCAACACCAGAAGCACTCCAAGTGGCCAGATACTGGTCAAAGGACATTTAATCAACTACCAAGCTTGCAAATTTTGTTTGTCTGTTTGTTTGTTTTGTTCTGTTAGAAATGTAATACAATTGTCTGGTTGTCCCTGACACGATAAATAAATACCTCCTCCACACTGGACACTGCATCCTTCCCACCCACTATGGGTCCAGATGTACAAGGACTCCTGCTGAAGGTCGGGTTCATTCCTGATTTCGGCAGAGTAGTTCACAGGGATTGTGTACTCGTAGTGGATCCCATAGTTCTGGTCATGGAATAACAGCACCTGGCGGAAAGAGCAGGAGATCGACTTTCACTGGGGTGGGGGGATATTAGCCAAATAAATGAAAAAATAGATGAAGAAACCATGAAAATGAACAAAATATGGCTCCCAGTATTTAAAAAAAACCCTCTAAAATCATAACTGTAAAAAAAAAAACAACACTCAAAAATAGGGGAATTCCAGACAAGAAACTATCAGGGCCAGCTTATCACCTACCAACAAAGGATTCCCAGGTAGTAAGAAGCCAGGCCTTGAAACTGCTAGGCCAGTGTTTCTCAACCTGGGGGTCGGGACCCCTGGTGGGGGGGGGTCACATAGGGAGAGCCAGAGGGGTCGCCAAAGACCAGAAAGCACAGTATTTTCTGTTGGTCATGGGGGTTCTGTGTGGGAAGTTTGGCCCAATTCTCTCATTGGTGGGGTTCAAAATGCTCTTTGATTGTAGGTGAACTATAAATCCCAGCAACTACAACTCCCAAATGTCAAAGTGTATTTTCCCCAAACTCTACTGGTGTTCACATTTGGGCATACTGAGTATTTGTGCCAAGTTTGATCCAGATCCATCATTGTTTGAGTCCTCAGCACTCTCTGGATATAGGTGAACTACAACTCCAAAACTCAAGGTCAATGCCCACCAAACCCTCCCAGTATTTTCTGTTGGTCCTGGGGGTTCTGTGTGGGAAGTTTGGCCCAATTCTATCATTGATGGGGTTCAGAATGCTCTTTGATTGTAGGTGAACTATAAATCCCAGCAACTACAACTCCCAAATGTCAAAGTATATTTCCCCCAAACTCCACCAGTGTTCACATTGGCATACTGAGTATTTGTGTCAAGTTTGATCCAGATCCATAATTGAGTCCTCAGTACTCTCTGGATATAGGTGAACTACAACGCCAAAACTCAAGGTCAATGCCCACCAAACCCTCCCAGTATTTTCTGTTGGTCATGGGGGTTCTGTGTGGGAAGTTTGGCCCAATTCTATCATTGATGGGGTTCAGAATGCTCTTTGATTGTAGGTGAACTATAAATCCCAGCAACTACAACTCCCAAATGTCAAAGTATATTTTCCCCAAACTCCACTGGTGTTCACATTTGGGCATACTGAGTATTTGTGTCAAGTTTGATCCAGATCCATCATTGAGTCCTCAGTACTCTCTGGATATAGGTGAACTACAACTCCAAAACTCAAGGTCAATGACCACCAAACCCTCCCAGTATTTTCTGTTGGTCCTGGGGGTTCTGTGTGGGAAGTTTGGCCCAATTCTATCACTGGTGGAGTACAGAATGCTCTTTGATTGTAGGTGAACTATAAATTCCAGCAACTGCCACTCTGAAATGACAAAATGAATACCCCCCAACCCCACCAGTATTCAAATTTGGGCATATTGTGTATTTGTGCCAAATTTGGTCCAGTGAATGAAAATACATCCTGTATTTTCAGATATTTACATTACGATTCATAGCAGTAGCAAAATTACATGAAGTAGCAACAAAAATAATTTTATGTTTGGGGGTCACCACAACATGAGGAACGGTATTAAGGGGTCACAGCATTAGGAAGGTTGAGAACCACTGTGCTAGGCCATTCAATGCTACCCAAGGTGGCCAATTGAAACTTTCTTACCTACATCAAACAGACAATAATTCTTTCTCCCACCCTGGACATTCCACAGATATATTAACCTCACTTGCCTATTTCCCAACAGACCTCGCAATCTCTGAGGATGCCTGCTATAGATGCAGGCGAAACGTCAGAAGAGAATGCTACTGGAACATGGCCACACATCCTGAAAAACTCACAACAACCCAAATGAAAAATAGTTGAAAGAGTAAAACAAACTTTAACTGGAAGCATTTCCGTGAAAGCAAAACAACCGCTGTTGGAAATAG